ATGATTTAAAAAAATATTTCACAGTTGATTTTTACACCCATGATTTTGTGATGATCATGAAAACATTGGATGTACTATTAATCGTCACTTGGTAGAATTGTATTCAAAAAAGCATTTTCAAATATTGTTAAGTTTTCATTGTGATTTCTTTTTAAAACCATGAGTTTGGTTTGCATTGAGTGTATGCAGAGCTGAAGCTTGCTTTCTCCTCCAGGCGGGGGCGAAATCGAAGGAGGGTGAGCCCTGCCATGGCAGTTGTTCCTCCCTTTGAATTTCCTCCTCCTTCTGGCCCCGGGCGGCCCTCCTCTGGCCCCGTACCTCCCATTCCATTGGATTTGGCAGGAGCGGGCAAGAAGGGCTTCTCTACCGCAGAGTCCAATAACTTGTAAGCATGAGGCATGGCATGGTTTATTTCTCTTCTCTCTCTATTTTATTTATTTTTCCGAGGCATTGGTGCTGGAATGGTATCCAAAACTATTGATTTGTTATTGTCTAGTGTTGAGTTAAGTGGCATGTTCTTCATAATATCACAGTAAATTTGTAGATGTGAAGTGAATAGTGTTTTAATGTTGAAAATGTTTGTCCTAAAAAGAAAAAATTAATTTACTTTCTAACTTACCTTGCTTTAAAATCTGTTCTGGTTTGTTCTTGGAGTGTTATTTCTATTGTTTTGTTTTTTGGATACCTTTTCCTTCGTAAAAGCTTCAATTTAGTTACCTTTAATACGTATATTTGTTAAAAATATGGAAATTATTTTCATTATCTTGTCCTGTTTTATTTATATATTTGTTCATATGTAAAAGAATTTGAGAGTGGTAACAAGAAGTCTTCGATGCAGCCTTTTTGTGAAAAAAGTCATGAAATATAGAAAGCGTTTGTTTTGTTTTTGTGAATTTCCGTATTTTCTGATTCTATAATTTTAATTTCCAGAAATAATAATTTTTTAGATTCATTTTATTTTTTGGTTGCTTCTAATGTAGCTTTGTAAATCTGTCTTCATACCAGTTATATTCCATACACACATTTACAATGAATGTTAAAAACAATTTAAGTAAATATTAATTGTTTACTTGTGTATAATTAGATATGCATTAGATGTGCATTTGAGAACTGATATGTAATAGAATACAAAGTTTGTACAAAGAGTTAATCAGATTATTTTAGTTTATGAAACAAAACTAATGGAGTTTATCTTGTTTCTTTGTTTTTAAATTCAGGCCTACTAGTGAAGAAGATGACCCACCTGTTCAGGGTCCTCTTCCTTTTGAACCAGATGATGCTCCATGGAAGAAATCTGAATCAGGGATTCGCAAGTTGTGAGTAGCCCTACATACAAATGCGTGTTCCTGTCTGTTATCTTCTTATAATTATACCGAGCACTTTTGCTTGTCAGAATATAGTGTGGTAGGAAAGGCTGACAAAGAAAGAAACTACTTAATTGTAGTTATGATAATTGTACCCAGACTCAATCCACACATATTCATGATGGTTGTTCAGTCTGCTCAAATTTGTTCTAATGTTTACTTTCACTCCAATCAACCCTGTGCAGGGAAAGATCTTCCAGTGAAGAGGAAATTGGGGAATTTGGACGATTGCTGCTGTATCTGGTAAGCAGTGCAGGTGATGGAGGAGAATGACACTTCTAGAGGTACACACTCACAAAAAAATTGAATGTCGTGGCTTACAATATTCTGTGCCTTGGGGTTCGTATGAAAAATGTCTGGGAAAAATGTGGGAAAGCTGTTTTAATATTTGTATTCCGCTGTAAGTTAAAACCTTATTAATAGCCTGATACTGTTTTGTAATTACAACGTTTTGTATTTACAAGTATTACCAAACCAACATAAATAGTTCAAGTTATGCAGGTATAAGAGGATTTAGTTCTTTTCAATTTGATCATGATTTTGCAGACAAAAAAACCTTTGGACGTAAAATTTATTGACAATCAAATTAGATCTATCAATCTAAGAAGCTATAGTAGCTCAAGAAAGAAATTGTTAAAGAAACTGTCATGCAATGATAAGCAATTTTTGCATCTGTTGTCTCAGTTTCCAATTATTTTATCAAAATGCCCCTCATGTGAAACATTTTTTAAAGTTATTTATTAATTTATCAATCAATCAATATATTATTAATTAAATATTATTTACTGATTAATTGCTTGAAATTGTTATTCTTTTAAATTCTGTAAAGTTAACACTCCCTTAAATATCACTTGTCTAACACTTGTAGTAAGTTCATTCATTCAAATACTGTTCATGACACTTACCTAATTTTGCATATGCTTAAAAGTATTTTGCTCTCAGGAAGATTGTGTCTTGTGGAAGAAATTTATCTGAAATAAATGTATTAATTGTTACAATAACTCCTTGTGCATGGTGAAAATAAAAAATGTATCCTAATAAAGAACATTGGCATGCAGTTCACCCAACTTCCTCATGTTAATTGTTGGTAAAATTGGTTATTCATGTTATGTGGTATTGTATTGATGACGGAAGGCTACTTTCTGGTATGGTGATGGGTTGAGTCTGTGGTATTTGTGGTTATTTCTTTGTGACTCCATTTTCCAGCATTCCCAAGTTATGTGCTTTTTTTCTGGACTGTGACCCCTTTCCGTGAATTGAGATAGTGTGAATTGTAGATTATTTTTATTTTTTGTTATACATCTCCAAATCATTCAAGTTCATTTGGTTGTCTCTGTTATGTTTATAAACTTATTTTTCAAATTTTACAATTTAGATCTTTTGCAGCATAGACCATTCATATTTGTGCACTGGTTTTAGCGAGTCATTTCTTTTCTCTCTCATCAATTTGGTTGGTCTGTATCCTCAATTACGCCCGTATTTTTCCATGGAAAAGTTTGTGATAAGATTATTTTTCCTTGTCTTTGTTCACAGATTCAGTATTCTTACTACATTTTCACAAAACTTGCTTAGCCCTACTGAGCCGAGTAGTGTGTGAAGGTTAGCTGAATACAGTTTTTTGGGTTGCTGATTTTTCATACAAAAATCCCTTATTCTTTTGTATATTTTTATTTAACATCTCTGTTGGAAGTTCAAGGCCATGGATGATTATTATGAAGGTTAAATCAGCTTGTACTAACATTTTCTACTGAATTATTCAGTTACTTACTCATACTTTTCTGGAGTGTTTCTTGTTGATATTTACCTGAATGTGTGCAGATCATTGTTTCATAATCTTATACAATAGCTTAAAGTGTGCTGTTTTGTAATCTTAACTATTTATTTGTTGTGAGCTGTGTGTTCCGTGTTTGCAATTAATTTTTATAAAAAACTGAAGGGATGAAAGGAATGTCTCTGATAGTGGTGAGAGATAATCAAGAATATGTTCATGTGTTCTAGTCATAAAGTTTATAGAACTCATTTTCTTATTTTATTTCATGTTTTATTTTGAGAAAATTAAAGTATGAGGAATGAAATAATTAGTGTCAATGTGTGTTGTGTTTTATGAAATGGGTAGAAAAATGTTAAGTTAATTTAAAGTTCTTGTGTTCATTTATTCGAGCGATGTGTAGTGTTATTTAAAATGTCTTTATATTCTATCAGTTTTACAGTTGGTTACAGGATATTACATATACAATGGCTTGGTATGTGTTTTTATGTTCAATAGTGATGCAGTGTCTTAGTTCATAAAATTAAAAATTTTCCCGGCCTTTTAAAAATGTCTACATGCCTGTTCCTTTGTAATGGGGTATTCAGTACGGTATGCTCTCTTTGTGGTCTTGAAATTATTCTTTTTCTATAATCATGTATGAGAAACATAAATTGCTTTTGCAAGTCTTGATAACAATCACTGTGACAAACATCTTCCATGCAACTCTGCAAATATTTTGCTTTTCTATAAGATGATCTTACAAGAGAACATTGTGATAATGGTGGTCAAAATTGATTTTCTAAACACACAGGACAATTTAGTATTTAAAAATAAGTGAACATCCAAAATTTTAGCTTCTTGACCTCTTTAGCTGAAGGGACTGTTCTACCTACAATTCAAGAAGAGAAAGTCTAACAAATATTAATTTGTGTTATCTGTTTTTGTTTGATATCTTTAAATAAATTGGCTGTTAAGTGGGTTATATTTGTGAAATAATGCATTGATTGATTTTTAATGTTTGAATTAGATATGCTTTTCTATCAATTTATAACCCCTCCCCCCTAATCAGAATTGTGTTAGTGTCTATGAAGAAAACTTGGTTCCTAAACCAGAAATCAAGAAAAATTAATTTAAGATAACATTGGATAAATTGCCACATGAGCTGTTAGAAATCAGGAAAAGAGGGGAAAGCTGAAGGGAATCAAAGAATGAGAGAAAGATAGAATCTACTGCCATAGGTAAATATTCGCATTGCCTCACCCAGTCTTGTGATAATAATCATGTAAGTGATTCAATCAAGTTTTTAAAAGCAGTTTTATTGTTTTTATGTGAATGTAATTAAGAAACATATTTTTTAAGGGTTTTATGGGTACTTCGTCTTGCTTTGGGTTAAATTTCTTGTGAATACTTCTGAAATCCTGTAAGAACTAGTTTTATGAAGCTTAGCGCCAAGAATTTGAAATTATTACTTTTTAAAAAAAATGCCTGTGTATTAAAAATAAAATTTTTTACATTCACAATGTTCTTTTGTTAGATGCTCTGTTTGTGATTTTTCGGTTCTTGGCCCATGGCCTTGGGCAAAGCTTTTTCTGTATGTTGCATGACTGCATGGTATATGTCCATGTAGTGTAGTAAATTAGCTGATTAATTTTTGCAGTAGTCACAGGATTTGAAATTAATATTTAGAAAACATCAAAAGTAGATTTCAAGCTTATTGTTATATTACACCCCAAGTCAAGTAATAGTGTCCTCAAAACAGGCATTTGTGGATTCATCATTGAATGCCTTTGTCAGAACTTATTGCCATTATTGTTTGATAAATATTTTTGTCAATCTGGTGCTAGTGGATATTAAAATGATATGATGTGTTCTTCTCTTTTTCACAGTTTTCGGAAGTTATTTAGCGACAGTAATGTCACCTTTCTTGGAAGTAGTCCAAAACGAAGTCTTTCTTCGCTGTCCAAGATGGCCCTATCTAGTAGCGCAAATTCTGATGCCACTTTCTAATGCTGTCACCAGTTCTTCAAGCAGTACTTCAGCAATGGATACAAGTACAGGTTACGTCATTGACCTTGCTGGGAACCTGGAGTCATTTGTTCACCTTGTACTGGATGAGGTCTCTTGAGATAATAGGGGTACAAGAATATAATAACAATTATTCTTGCCTGTCTTCATGAAATATCATGTTATATTCCAAAATGATTGTTTGTAGAACATTGGTAAGGATTTCTTGATGAAAGTGAGGTCTTGGACAGGATTTGGAGTAAAGAAAGTGTTAAGTTACATGTGAAGAAAAGTACGTTCAAAATACTCAAAATGTAGTGATTACATTCACTTTACATGTTGGATTACATTCAACATGTATTTGAAGTGTTTAATGCAGATCAGATATGCTTAATGTATTTATATAATTATGTAAATGCACAGATGGCCTACTTAATTAAATGTTCTGTGCATCATGTTCCATTGAATATGATACCTTTGTTTATTTTTACCTAAAATAAAACAATTGTTAGACATTTTAGAGTAAGTATAGAGTTATACCTTTATTTTTTTAGGAAAGTGTTTGTTATCTCTAATATATTCCTTTTGCAACTGAAAATTGATGCTTTTTTGTTTGAGTTGTTCAAAAATATAAAATTGTTTTCCATTTCAAGTCTCTTTCCTTGAAATTCCTGTCCAAGAACTTCAAAAATAGTTTTTACCCATGGTTATGCAAATTATTATTGGATATCTTTATAGTGACTTACAGCTATTACTCATTTTCATATTTCAGAAGTCAGCACATTTTGTAAAATAATTTTTAAGAATGCACTTTGGAAATTGAGGCAATCAATTCAAATTAATGTGGAGCATGTTGACATTGCTCTTTGAGGTTTGCTTTTGTTGCTTGGGAATGAAATTGCTATATGCTTATGAGACTGTAATAGCTGTCAAGAAATTGCTCTTATTCAGTACATAGAATATGGATCTTTGCTTTCTAAAGCACCTGGATTGATACATAAATTGCATCTGAAGTAAGTAGCTTAAAATGTCTGTATCCCTATTTACAGTAGAACAAAAATTATTGCGTGATTTGATGGTCTTGTGTTGAATATGAAGCTTGTCATTTTTCTTGATGTAAAATGCAAAAATGGTTTGAGAAGGGGCAGCATGGGAAAAGTGGAGGCTGATTTGCAAACCCTATTAAGTGATACAAGATCGAATTTATGAATGTTTATGAGCACATAATGTTTATATTTTTTAAACATTTTTAAGTGGAACATTTGAAAATCCTCTATGTTTAATTTTTAAATGTATAGTGTATTGAATGTAAAATACAGTACACTGAGACATTATACATTTCATGTTGAACTATTAATATTTTATCCAGGTCAAAAATAGAACATACTTGAACAAAATGTTAGTGTAAAGTCATACTATATTAGTCTTTAGAAACCTTTATTAAAGAAAATAATTTTTTACTAAAACATCTTTCTCAAAAATCTTTTAGTGAATTTATTTTTGGTAATGTACCTAATTATACCAAGAATATATTCCTTAATCAAACTGAAAGTTCCTTATAATTTGATAAAGGCAATTTGCATTTCTTTAAATATGCCAAGAGTGGAGTAGTTTCTTTGTATTGTAATTTTTCAATGCATTAATCATAATCGTGCTATTCTACTTAACAGTATGTGAACACTTCAGTGTGCGCATCGTTTTGGTTATGAATCAATGATACACCAGGTTTGTGATTATCACTGAAGTGGCATGATGGGGACCAATCTAATTTTGGTTGTAAAATGCACATTGAGTGGTTGGTATTTTAATATGATTTTTTTTTCATGTGAAAAATGCTTCACAATTTCTGCTTCCTGAATGGAGTTAAGGATTGCAAATCATACTAATGTTAAAATGGAAGGACTCATTCAAAGTGAGAGTAGCACCTGTTATGTGGCAGGTCCAGAGAAGAAAAAAATGTAATGAAAGAATTTTTTCTGTAACTTGCACTGGAATCTTTAGATATTTTTTATCGTAACTGCAAACATTTAGGAAAAGTGTGAAAATAGAAAATTTAATTATTTATTATATTTTATGAACTCTTATTAAGCAGCCACTGAATCTATAAAGAGGAATTTTCTTTGAGCAAAAGAAGAAAGCATTGTGATAGAACTATTGTATTTTTTGTTGCTTTCATTTAGTTTGATTGTTAAAGTAACTGAAATCATGTTGTTTTGGCCAATAAGGTTTAATATTGATTGTGCATATTATAATTTTATACAGAATATTGTTTCAGAAATTGTTGAATAATTTTTCTAGAAAGAGGGCATTGTTTTATTGTATGACTTTAACTGTATTATGCTAAATTTATTCTCTGGATATTATTGCCATGCAGTGGTATCAGATCAGATTTTTTAAAGCACATGCTCCTTTTTTGTTTTGAAAAATAAACTTCATGCACTGAGTAATCAGTGTTACAACAAATAAACACATTGTAATGTTCACGCAGAATTTCTGAACAGCTCATTTCATTTTAACACATTTTGCTGAAAGCAAGGGGTTTAAAAACTATTTTTCCACAAACAGGAGTAGAAATTATTCCCTAAATCATGCCATTTAGATCATGCATCATGGAAAAAATGGGAAATTCAGGTGTTTATTCTGCTGTTTATCAAAATATGACCCAAATACATTAAATAATAGAAATTAATTTAATATCTGAACAGCATCATGACAATTAAAAGAATTTTGAGTTATAAATCTGAAATCATTAAATATGTGTTAAGATGGCAAAATGATGAAAGTTACTTTTTCATGAGACACAAAGCACAAAATGACCTAGTCACTCTTTGTTTCTTATGTTTAGAAGTAGGCAAAAGGTGCATTTCTCTTGTAATGTATGAAAAGACAATGGGGACAAATTGCAATATGGCAAGAGCCGTTGAGTAATTTTTCTTGCCATTTTGGTGCTTAAACTAGCTGGCATGAAAAGTTTTAATGAAGTAACGTATAACATTTTGCCAACTTAGCACAGAAATATATTATTGGATCCAAAACTGAATTAAACTGTTCAGATTGGTTGTTTTAAGATTTCCATTATTTTCTGCAACTTGTTACACTGGGTTCACATTTCAGTGTCTAACCAGCAAAATTATTGGTTATTGGGTGTTTTTGAAGTACCTCTTAAGGATTCCCATTTGTTTTATTGGATGCCTTCCACAGAGAGGGGAATATTTCTTTTTAATTTATCAAAATGATGCCCAAGAATTTCTTAAGAAATATTAGCCTTTTACTTCAGAAATATTACTGAGTTTAAGTTATTTAATCAAAAAGTGTATATTTTGGATGTATCCAATAATATGTTCTAAAAAAAGATTTCTATTGTGTTAGTAAATGTGAATTTCTCATTGGTTAATCTCTTAATGTTATTAATGTCTCCTTACTGTTAGAAGTTAAACAAGCCCTTTTCTTTTGGGATGCAACATTACTTCTGTTAACTGTAATCTTACTCATGTAAAACTTTGTTACTTGTTTTACTCTCTATGGACGTTTCAATATTGCTCTATACCTTCATCCATTTCCAACTTAAGAATTTTACTATAGTCTCTTGCATTAACTGGGCTTGGTAAAGTAAAATAATTTCATAGAACCATGATTTTTTTTTAAATTCTACTCCTATTTGTGGAAAAATCATTATTAATTCTCATGATTTTCCTCCTGTACACTCATAGGACTCAGGCTTCAAACCTACTATTCAGTTATGCTATTCTCTCCCTTAATGTATAGAAATATTGCAGTCTGGTCTGAAGTTAATAACACACCCACCAGTGGACAATAGTTGAAGCCTAAACAGACACCCTCTAAAATAGTATAGTCTGTAAAACAAAATAAACAAAAGCTGATTGGTAGCTACTTCAAGCTAGGAAATTTTGCTGTAAGCACTATGCAAAATTTCTAATATACAATTTTGATACTGAATTATGTGGCGGGCAACACAAATTTCAGTTATTTTAACTTAGACAACTTCTGTAATGTTGCTTATGAAAATTTACAAATTTTCATGTGTTTTCCTGTTTCTTTTCATTGCCATTAATGTATTTTAATTTGTGAATGAACTGAAAATCTTGATTTCATGTTTACATGATCATATATGCAATGGAATATATTTTTCAGTTCTTTATTGATAGTGAATGTACTTCCATTTCTCAGAGCATTACCTGCTGTTTGTATTTATTTTAAATTGAACCTTTTGTGGTTTAGAACATTGCCTTTCTTATATTTTGTAGTTATTTAAGAAATTAGCATTTCTTGAATGAACTGCAAAATATCTCTTCATAATTCTTTTGTTGAGGGCATAGGAAAGAACTTCTGTAGTGTAACATGAGAGAATTTTTTTGTGCCATTCTCAGAATTGTGAAATAAAATTGGCACCTTCTAGCAATTGGCCTGTTTAATAATCTGTTTTACTAATGATACATATTGCAATTATAGATTGAAATTGAAATTTGAATTCTGCATTGTGTGCCATAAAGATTTGTTAGAGCATAGTTAGCACTTTAGCTTCATAGTGCAACTGAATTTTTTGCTCATATAGTACAAATCGTATTTCGAATTTCAGAAAAATATATGTAAAATTTTTATTATGTTCTGTAGACAAAGTAGAAGTTTTTGGAGTTGAGGAAGTGACATTTAGAAGACTGAGGCTGTGTACAAGAGGATTATTGATTTTTTTTGTTCTATTTATTGAAATGTTTCTACTTTTATCTGTTTTTGTGTGTATTGTGCACTTAATTTTATTTTCTTGTAACTTTGTCTTGAGATTTTTTTGTATGTGTGTAAATATTGTGCTGAAGGACAATCAATGATAGTCCAATCTTTTTTAAGAACACTTACAAATTATCATACTCATTTATCATAATCTGAATCTCTGTTTCATTACTCAGATTAGAGAAAGATTACTTTTATGTCTACTTTGGGAAATTGGTATATATTGCATATAATTCCTTTTATTTTACTTGTACATTCTATATTGTGTTATGTTATTTTATGAATGTGAACATGACACAGTGCTTCCGTACTCAGATTGTTGTAACTGTGCCAAAATTATTTGTCTCTATTTAACACAGTTGCACAAGCTCAGCTTAAAATGCGCAAAATATCAGGCTATATATATGCATGTTGTTTTAATTGCCAGTATTTGAAGAAAAGTTGTTTATTGAGCATTAGATTTCAAGAGTTGTTGTTTTCATATGACAAGTGTTGAATATTGAAGTTACATAATATTCATAAAATGTCAAGTCCTTGGAAATATTCTTAGTAAATTTAAATGTGTGGCTAGTTGTATGTTCTAGAAGCAGGAATTAGCATCTTCAAAATTAATTAAAAATATCTTCAGACATTTGCAAACCTCCTTTCAAGCACTCAATAGCATTATTACTACAGATGTATGAATAGTAGGTTCATCATTGACTTTTAATTTTTTTAAATTATTAGCAGACATGAAAAAATACATCACTAAATAATTTACACCAACAAGAATAACCAAAATACGCAGTGCATTTGGCTGTCATTGATGTGCCACAATTGAGAACTGTACTTAATGTCAGTTACTATAACAACTTGTGCCTCTAGATTAAAATTTCAGATATATGTATATATTGTATTTGAAGTATGTATTTCACAGTTATAGAATCCCACATTTTTTTAAAAAGTTTTGTTTGTATAATGTAATATATTCTGTACCAAATATATCATATCATTTTATTGCTGTAAAAGTATGCATATAATGTACATCACAGCTATTGCAACCAAAGTTGGTGTTAAATACATTTTTAAAATGTTTTAAGAGTGTGTTTAGTTGATTATGATTTTCCCTTCTTTCGGCAGTTACTGTTTTTGAGAAACTGGTTTTCTTGTATTAATCAAATGTGTGATGTTTGGTCAGATAATTCCAAAATCACATTTGGATGTAATTATGGCTATTGCACACTATTACATTTTTAAACAGAATCAAACTAACTAGGTAGTTCTGTTCCTTGAATTTTGTGTTCTGAAGAATGTATTTCAACATTTCCTAGCTTCCAATCTGTAAAAATGTAATGGTGTGGAATAGTCGAAGTGAAGCTGATGTCAATGTGATTTTGGAGTTATCATATTCTGACCAAACGCCACTGAAATTATTTATTGTTGTATAATAATTGCTGTTTTAGAACATGTCAAAAGTAGGATAAAAAAATTTAACCGAGTAATAAAATGCAATAAGGTTTTCTTGGTATGATATGAGGAGGATTGGGGAAAATGAAGGAATTAAAATAAATCATAAAGTATTAAAAGTATCAATCTATAGATTGCATATGAATTTCAATCCAATTCTATTTTGATGCAATAGAATCATACATTATTGCAGAAAGGGAGAGATCTACTAAAATAACATGTATTGGGTAGAATTTGGGGGGGAGGACAAATTGCTTTTTAAATTATACCTTTTGATCTACTAACATTTTAATTAATTTCATATATGTGATTGAGGTAGTTTCTTCATGCTTGTAGGCCATTCAATTCCGTTTAAAACAATTTCTAAGCTGCTCTATCCAGCCCATTGTTCTTGTGAACATACAGAAAAATCATGCTTCCTATGAATATCTAGATAATATGGGAAGTAGCATTGAATTGAAATGAAAACAGCATTGCTACAAACTGAAGTGATATAATATGAGTGATGATTACTACAATTGTTTTTGTGCTTATGTAACATGAATATAGCTAGATAGATTCCATTCAAATGTTGCTCATCAGTTAAATCCATTGTTTCTACATTGCGTTTTTTTATTGATGCCTATAGTTTCAAAAACACAAAATTTTATATTTTGGAATGAAGATACCAGCGTTCATTTTTTGAATATAATACTTTTCATGGTCATATGTTACCTATAATGTTAATAAGCCAAAAATTACTTAGTATGTATATGTTTTATCCCTTTCTGACCCCATCAATTTGTCAGCGTGGAGTCATTTGTTCTTCATAGTGAACTTAAGATTTGAGATCGCTTGTTATATATCTATGGTTTGTTTTGTGTGGAGAGACTTAGAGAAAGTGTACCCGTGGTGGTAATAACCAGCGTATTTCCACCATGAGTAATGTATCCATATGTGTATCAGAACATTTGCATACTCTGCCAGAAAACGAAGTAACTAAACTTCTGAAGCGCGCCGGTGGTCGTAGGGCAAACGTCCTTGTGCTGATGTGGCCTCCGCCAGGGGCGCGCGAGGGCTCGAGGGGTGCTCGCCAAGCCCAGGGCGGCAGTCCAGTGCCGGGCCGAGCGGGGAGGCGGTCAGGAGAGGCTAGGCGCCCCTCGATATGGCTGCCGTAGCGACGAACCTCAAGGCGACACCGTGGTATCGCCGTCTGCTCGGTCCCGAACTCATCCAATGTTACTCGGCCTGCGACAGCGAAATGAAGGTCGTGCCAGTTGAGTCCGTTCTCGGAAATCCCGATTCGAACCTGGAGATCGTGGGGCTGTATTTCACCCCGATTTTCGCCATGGATGAAGGCAACGTCATGGCCAAGCTGCTGGATTTGTACCGGCGCGTGAACGAAGGCGGCGGCGTCCCCAGGGAAGGCCAGGCAGGGGGCGGCGGGAGACTTGAGATCGTCCAAATTGTGCTCCAGACGAATGTGGACTGCGTTGTCACCCTTACAGATGTTGAGGAAACTTTCAGGAAATTAGTGAAGGATGTCCCTTGGTTTGCAGTTCCCTACAGAGATTTTCAGAGGAAGGTGAGTCAACATAAACAAAACTTTTCATTGATCTGAATAATACCATAGTAAACTTCTAATAGCAATTACTAAGAAATAAGAGCATATTTTGAATAGATGATTCTTCGTAAAAATATAATGGGTTGATATTTAGTTTTTTATAAAGACTAATGATGAAAATGGAAAAAATTGGAAAGATAAACAACAAATTGTATTAAACGCGCGAGTTTTCTTGAGCCTCGGAACCCCCACTCCTTTACTAATATTAGTTGAATTAGGAATAAGCGATAGCAACGAGCGTTGTTGACAAAATCTGGTAACCAGAAATGTTAGCTCCCTTGTATAGAAATTATTTTGCATCGTAAAACGAACTACAGTTTTGATGTAACTGTTCTGTTGAAATAACCAACCACCCCACTTCTCTTGCGTCTAGCTAAATGAGAGCTCAAGAAAACGTGCGAGGATAATAATAGCAAACTGAAGCGAACGTCTCTGAATAAAATGTAATACAATCATTGTCCAAAATTTTAGTATTAATCTTGGTTAAAAAAAAGTATAAAGAAAACTTATCATAAAAAACGAGACGATGCCGAGTGCCTTTAAAGAACAGTGTCTATAAGACAAACCCGACGATTCGTTCCTCTTTCCCAGGGCTGTAATCTACTTTGCAAATGAAGGTTCCCACGCGCTCGCTCCGGTGCGTCCGAACAGAGGTGCGCATCAGATCTGAGAACAACGTTTTTTTTAGTTTCACGGAGAGTTGCTCTGAAGCATCGTGTAAATGAAATGATATGACTGCAAAATAGTATCGTGGTCGAAGCATGTAACGTAAGTCAGACGTGGGTCAAGTGGAAATGGACCCCCCCCCCCAAAAAAAATAAAATCAGATCTATTAATTTTGACTTGTCATTAAACTTCCAAGAAAAAATATTTTCGGATTATCATTAAAACGAATAATATTGTATCACAGCATGAGCTGAGTGTAGCCTGTGAAATTTAACAAAATCTATAGTATACTTATTTGACGAAAACATTTTGAATTTCCCCTTCCAAAATTCGTCTGAATTTCCCCTGCATAAGTCCTCACCTGGATATGATCCTGGGCATACAGCAAGTTAACTATTTTAATACAGCGAAACAATGTTGGCTTTTGTTACGGGCGTTAAGTTTGTTATAAACAAACAGGACAGACATAATGGGAATGAAATTAGATGTTTGTAGCTACTTCTCCCACAATGCAAACCAAAACTGAAGAACTAAGGTATGTGTCACACGAGCGTTGCATTGACGGAGGTTAACACCGTATCTTAAGCGAAATGGCCAAAGCGCTCGTGTGCCCTTTCGCATTCGATTCGGTATTAATCTACGACGCGCGTCAATACAACGCTCGTGTGACACAGGCTTCATGATGCAATCACTAAGCACGATCTTCACACATTCAGAGGGATAACAACACAATATCCATCGACAGATAGGTTGTGTAGGTGATAATGTACTTTTGTAATACGAGTACTTCCTATCCCTGAGGAAACAAAATTCGACCCCTTCCATAGGTCTAAGATTACTTACTACATTACTACCTTCACTTCTGAATAAAGTACATTAATTGACATTGATTGTATGAAATGCAACATTCAATGGAAAATGAAGATCATGTTCTGAACATTAATAATTATAAAAATATACTTTAAATCAATAATTTCGGTGGCATGGGTATATTTTCCAAATCAGCTAAAATTCTGCTCGGCTCTTTTTCATTTCGAACTTGTAAACGTTGGAAATTTTACTTTTGACATCACGCAATGAAATCACTATACTTGTTTCAGAAATAATGTGGATGCACATAAACTGCTACCCTCGTACACTCAAATGCGATATTTTCAACTGCCAGGTTTTTCAAAATCACTGCTGGCTCGAAGTACAAAGTTTCCCCGTATAATCCTCTCCGAAAATTATTCACCTTCGATCGTAGTTTTACGATTATTTTTTAATATATTTTGTACTAATTTACTGATGTTTGAAGAATTCGTCTTTGGCAAATTAAAGTACTCTACCAAAATCAGTAGCTCATTTTCAGTAGCGTTACAGCTCGTTTAATCTTTTTGAGAGCAAAGATCATCTTTTTTGTTAAAGAATTATTAAAATGTTTTATCCGCCAGATATAGATTATATTTCTACAGAGGAAGAAAAAACTTGAAAATAATCTGTAAATTAAATTTGTGACATTTATATTCGAGGTTGTTAATGACCATGTTGTTGCAAAGCGGCCTAAAAAATAAAAAATCATGACTGACGTAAAAGTATCGTTGACAGACATGGCATCGGCAGAGTAGATTAATAGGTTTTCTCAGTACAAAAGTTTGTTCTGTATCTTATGCATTTGGGGCAATAGGCGAAGATGATTTGATATATTGCATTGATTTCAGTTACATGAAAGCCCTCTCTATGAGCTGATTAATTTGGGAGTAAAAAATTAGTTTTCCCGGAACACAGACTATATGAGGCTGTCAGCGCAATAGTGGCCTGTATACTGCCCACATGTGTTTTCAGGAATGGCTAATACACATTTTTATCAGCCATAAAATTGTAATAAAGCATTACTTTGGTGTTGATTATTACAGTTCACAGTGATATCAAGCGTGACACAGTAAACATTCATATGTTTGTGGATTAGGTCACAGTTGAATTAAGAAAGTTCATGTCGACACCTGAGAAATGAATGATGACCACTGCAAGGAATATTTTATTCAGAATTGTAGTCGTCAGGACAAACATTTATTAACAGGTAGAATTTACTCAAACGTTTAGGCGTACTGCCAAAGAAATGTAGTACTTATACTAATAGTGTATGCCAGATATTGAGACTACACTGTGATCGCACTTCACTGGTACTCCATTTGTACGAAGAAATATCCTATAAAGAAAATTTACGTTTTATATTTAAATAAACAACATGTCGGTAAGACGAAAGAAAAGAATATTCAATCTCCAAATAAGCAGCTGTAAGTATAAATGTAGTGGTTGATTCTGCGCAGGCCCGAGGTAATTGGAATAGACCATTATTGCCAAACTGTAACAAAAATAAAACATTGCTTGTTACGAAGCTGGGTAGTTATTAATGAAATCACATTAGAACCGTTAGATAAAAATATATTTGCAACGTAGTACGAGTATGTGATTAAAACATTCAACTCAAATGATAAAATATGCGGTTTATGCTACTTTTGCGCTAATGGCCTCATATTATTAACTGATCCCGCTGTTCACGGATGGGGTAATTGAATTCCAATTCATAGTTTCTGCGCATTTTCTCGTGGGGACCATCTTGCGAATGTTCGTTTCAGATAAATCTATTGAGAGCCACCGAGATTACAACGCACGAATGAGCGAGGCAACGTGACTGTCGTTGACTTTTGAGTTACGCTGAATGGTTGATTAATGGAATGGATCACTGCGAACAGAATACCACATAAAACGATATCACACAACGTTTCGGCACGAATAAGGGAATGGCACTGGCGGATCCATGCCCCCTCTCCCCGAGTACCTGGAGTTTTCGTGCACCTTCCTGTGTTTGACAAAATTGATTTAAATATTTATGCTCGAATTATGTAATTATTTAAACAATGTTGTATAGTATTTCATCTACAGTACATAGGTAATATACAATACAATGACAAATATGTTATTATTTAACAAACATCTACAATGCCGCCCGCCCCTTCCCTCACAAAAATGATCAAGTGGATCTGCCCCTGGGGTAGTGGTTTTGAACTCTGGAGAGTTAAAAAAAACGTGCGCATAATGAAGCTACATTTACGTCCAGAAGCAAAACAAGGGGCCATCTCAGCATTTGCTCAATGGATCACGGAAACTGGGCAAAAACCTAATCGAGATGGGGGTGATTGACCTTGGAGGGGCATTGAAACATATCAAGTCTTTTAAAAAAAGTATACAATACAAATGCAAAAATTGGTAATCAGTATAGTCTCTAATTGTATAGAAACAGTTATGCAGCAGAAAAGATTTTACTTTTAACTTAAATTTGTGAACCGACTTCAATTGTTTAATGTCATCTGGCAGTGCGTTGTAAAGTAACGTACATGTATTGCATGTGGATTTCTGATAATGAGCTGTTGATTCTGACACTTGAGAAACGTGATTTTTACGACGTGTGTTGTAATTATAAATATGTATTGCATGAAAATGTGTTCCCACCGTTAAGTAAGTCACTTTTAACAAATATTACAGATTCGTAAATAAATAGGTAAGACAGTGGTAAGATTACAAGCTCAATGAAGAGAGGCTTGCATGGGTAACGCGGATGGCATTTTTTCATTATTCGAATAATTTTCTTTTGCATCTAAAGATTTGAGCATTTGCAAAATACACGCAAGCGAGCTGCATGAAGGCTGACAGAATTTGATAGAATTCTGAATGCGTAACATAATGAACTTAATTTAGTGTTTAATTTTGTTTCAATTCCTGTGTTCTCCAGATGTCCGCGTGATGATGTATTCTGGCGATTCAGTTGCGTTGGAAGCTTTTTGGTGCGTGCGGGCGCGGCGGGTGGGTGAGGCGGAGAGAATAAGCTGAAATTGAGCACCCGCCACGGAGGGTGGGGGCGGGGCCGATGTTTACAAGCGGCGCGCGCGCGAGCGAGCGCCAGCTGGAAATAGCGTTGCCCCGACCCCACTCCGCCCCGCGTCGCTTCCGCCCAGCCGCAGCGCGACGCCCCCGCCCCGCCCCCGCCCCCTTCCCTCAACCCCCTCGTCGCGGACGGGAACCCTTTCCCCAGCCCCGGCCCGCAGTCACGGTCACGGCCGCCGCCTCCCGGCTCAGGGCTGCGTTCACGACTGCGGGGTTGGGCGGGGCAGACGTTCTAGCATGGGCGCTGTGCGGTGGGACGGCACGCGTCAGGACAAGGCGAAGCGTGGACGAGCAACGCGGGGGTGGGCGAAGCAGGGTGGAAATGGGTGAGACTTCGAATGCGCACATGTCCGACGAAGTGAGTAAGGAATAATAGAATGGAATTTTCGTAAGTTCTAGTATTATTA